AAGAAGTGGCTTGTAGGCCCAAACTGATCTTTTTGGCATTTGTGGGCCGGTGTTCAATTTTCTTGGGCTGGTGACCCATCTTTTGTCGGCCCCTGCCAGATTTGATTGGCACAAAACACCAGCCTCCTGCTTCAGTGGGATTAAGCCTTTCTTGAGTTGCCACATCCAAGGAAGCGGTCAAGCAGCAGTAGTAGCAGTAGCAGCACCAGCAGCAGCTCTGCAACGAAAGGGAGGCCTGGCATTGCTTATATTATTTTATATTCGAGTTTCCCTGTGTACATTGCCTTTTTGGGGGATGCCGTATATTCTTAGACCATCTTAGACCAATAATTTAATAGTGATCAAATGCTCTTTCACCAAAATGATTCCACCGTGTTCCACATGTTGCAAGAACAAAGGAAAGAAGAGAAGGCGAAGCGCAAGTCCACTTCGAGGAAGAAGCGGTCACGCTCGCGGAAAGGGAAGCGCTAGACACCGATCTCCTAGCAAAGGAATCGGTTTTGCAATGTCGAGTGGACCCTTGCAGCAACAGCAACATAAGTGAATGGACCAAAACGGGACACAGTCTCAGCCAATTTGAAGAACACCGTGCAGGGTGGCAGCGATCTCCTCAGCAGTTGGGCCACCCTGAACAATGGTGGCGTGCTGTTATTGCCTGAGTCCAATCTCTGTGGCTGTAGATGGCGCTTGCTGTTTAGGAAGGACCCTCGCATCGTGAGAGCAACGAAAAAAGCTGCTGAGTCAGGAGTGTCACTTGGTGCATTTTGTCATGAAATATTCGACACAATTCCATCCAAGCTTTCTACCCTTGAACCACTTAGGTGACACGGCGTAGCATGGACAAATCCCATCACTTCAGAGAAGCTCTCGGGCCGCAGTTCGTGGTTCCTTGACATGGCGAAGCTGCTGTCCAACACTTGAGTCTCTAACGTTTGATGTTTAGGAGAACAGTGGTGCCTGGTGGTTGCCAAGTTTCAGCTCGCTGCCGAGAAACAATAATCCGAAAAAAAACACGAAGAACGAAGATCTCCGTACCATGGATCTTGGGATTCCGAACCTCATGCTGACGATCCCACCAGATGACTTACTGAGTAAGTCTCATTCAAAAGATAATAGACATCATGACTCATGATGACTCATAAATTTCATGACTCATCGATCCGTATGTTTGTTGGGGGGTTCCCATCTATGGCTTCCCTCTCACGTGACACCTTCAGATTAGCCGCCCGTAGGCTGCCGACCATTCATGGCTGCGCAGCTGCGGGAGCAGGGCACAGCACCTGGACCAGTTCGTTCAGCGTCCGTGTGTGCGAAATACTCGGAGGAACACATTTGCGTTGAATCGGATGCCACGGATGAAAATGACGGAAAAATGGGCTCTCTCTCTCTCTCTCTATCTCTTTCTTACGACGTTCCTTTGCAACGAGAACATGTCCACTGTTTTTGCGGTTCATGTTTTGAGTTTACAAGGGAAACACAAACAAAAGCAGAGTGGCATGAGAGTCACTCGGACAGATCCATGCCAAATCCACAGGGCAGTCGCTTTGACATGCGTTGACACTCTTTTGGCCCATGTTATATATATATATATATAAATATTAATGAATGGGTTTGGGGCAAATGAAGCTGCATGAAAACTCACATATAAGGTTGTTGACCGTCCGCCCTCAAAGTACATATACCCATGCACTCCATGTATGGAATATATGCTTACATTGACCCCCCCAACCACCCCAATGCAGGCATATATGGCATACATGGAGCGTTTGGGATATACATTAATTAATATATTTATATAGAAAACGTGATTCGACGAAGAATACCGCATCTACGAGCCTTTCGCATCCATTTGGCTGCTGGGGTGCGGTCCCAGCATCTCCCGGTCCATCGGGCGTTGGATGTCTTCCACCAAGGAGTTGGATGTCTTCCACTACGGCTGCTCAGATGACATCAAAAGGTCTCTACTTGGCAAAGTAGGCTCTTGATTGATAAATTTTATCCCCATTTTGAAGAGGTTTTACAATACAAATGGGAGGATTCATTAGTCAAGAGTCTACCGAGTCTAGGGGGTGCCGATTTCCACGAATCCGTTCCAAAGGGTCTCCAGACGTCTCCAGCGATGGCTTACACCCTTTAACATGGTTTATCGATGGTGGTTTTGTTACGTCATGTTGGTGCTTTCTGGTTCAATACCAGGCAGGCACCTTGAGTGGGCTACCAACATGATGTTCACCATTTTTGGACGGTGTCATGAGGGACCCAAAGGAGTAGTGTGCCAAACTGCGCGGACTCGGACTGTGTGAGCCCATGCTGTCACCCCGAAGCGGCTCACGGCTTGGGTCACCATCCTCTCTCACGACCGGCTCGGGTCGTGAGCTCCGTGAGCTCGGATGGAGAGATCCCGGAGGTGCTGGAGGTGGAGGTCACTTCTATGAGACACCTGAAAGGACCACAGGCATCTGAAAGGGCTGGCAGATCGAGGCTTTAGACATCTTCAGACCCAGGTTGTATCTCGTAGGAACCGGCAGGAAGTGATGTAGAGTTGAAGCTGCGTGACATGCGCCAAAGAGTGGAAGAATGGGATTCATGCACTGTCTCAGTTTGCATGGCGGTTGATTCATGTTGATTCACCACTGACGGCTGTTTTTCCATAACAGTGTCCAGTTATCTTCTGAAGTAGCTATCAAGACCATTGGTACAGTGCTGTCCAAGACAATGCACAGATCCTCAGAGTTTGTGGACTTGGTGCACATAAGCTAAACGACAGCACCCTTCGCCAAACACATACGCTATCCAGGCTGTCGGTCCGGGTCCATGACACCGTTACGACACCGACCCGGGTGGAAGACCGGGCTTGTTTTGATCGAAGGCTGTGCCTTGTGGCAGCTTCGATGGACAGAGGCTTTGCATCTTCTTCAGGAGATGGATGGCACCAAGGTGTCCGATGGTGTCCGGGAGGAGTTCCGGTTTTGAAAGGTGGCTGCTTGTGCCAAGCAATGGCCTGGGACGCCAAAGCCAGATAATGGCATCCAATAGAATGTTCTAGCATGAGTTCTACCATGCATCATAAATAGTGACATGTAAGACATGTAAGAGCATGGTCGTGGCTCAGGGTAAAATGTTGAGAGTTGCGGTTGAAAGAGTCTGAAAAAAAAGACTATAGTCTCAACTCGTGCGCCATGGTCATCGTTTGGATCAGTGGTCAGTGGTTTGGGTCATGCCTCGGTAGCACCGATGAACACACACAGATCCCAAGAGAAATTGCATGAAATGACATGCTTTGTTGTGGTCTACATCGCTCTACAATATCAGTTTGGCTTAGTTTCGCTTGGAATGAGCTCCTCCACTTTGAGTTCTATGCTGGCAGGCCAAGACCGACATGCGGACCACACGAGCCTTTTGGCCGACCGAGTGGACTCGTTCGCATCCTCGCTTTGATCGAAGCACAGCGCCAAAACTCGGGTGACCGGCCAGGTGAGGTCGAACCAGGTGATCTTCAACAGTGGCATCGACCTCACAGGCAAAGGCCAGGTGGGGCAACCGGGGTTTCCCGGCCGCGGCGTCACCGACAGACACCGGTGAAGGTTCTGAACTGAAAGGTCGACCGGCCGAAAACGGTCGTTCCACCATACGTGAGGAGGGTGGAGAGAGGGTTCACTAGTCGAATGAGGCAAGCAGAGAAAGACACCATGTTTAATCCACGCTTTAGGAATATCACCAGCCACTCTCCTCCCAAGGCTGGTATTCAGTGAAAAGGCTTTCCTTTAAAGCTTTAAATCGGATGTCCTGCCTTGGTTTTCCCCACCTTCCGACATCAGCCGCCGGGGCGCCCTCCTTGCCGAGGCTTCCAATGGCAGGTGGCCACCGAGCTCTTCCAGATGATGCCAACCCGAGTGTTGAAGACCGACGCCATTGGCCACCAGACCGCACCGCGAACGACCGGGATCGTTCGCTGCGCGTCACGTTTGATGGGTCCAGTCACGTTTGATTGGAGGTTATATAGTGTCAGATGCTTTCAGGATCTTTCAGGTGTTTGGTTGGGTGGTTGCTACTATTTTGTCGTATATCAATTTCGTGGGCGTTGAGTGCCTGAAGGCACTTGTTGCGATGGGTGTTCCAAGGATATGACCGTCCAGGGCCGTCCGGCTCGCTTTTTTGGCCTCCTCCACGTGATATGCAGCACATGATTGAGACCTCCCCTATTGACCCCCTTTGATTTGTGACGTCAATGTCCTGGCTCCATTGATCTCGGCCATGTGTTCGGTGACTTCCGACTAGCTTTCGGAGCAAAAAAGCACACGGAACGTCCACCTCTACCAAACAGGACATCGATCTAGGCTTTTGAGGTTCGCACTTTTTTGGCAGTCTTCACAAGTTGTCCCGACAAGAAAAGTGCCTTTTTGTTCATGATACACTGGTTCATTACCCGTCCCCTTTCAGCAGAGTTTTTGCCGGTGAAACACTCAGTGATTCACCGAATCCATGCAGCAAAATGAAGAGGCTTAGCACGCGGCACATGAGGGGGGTGCAGTTTCTGTCCATCCACTCGGGAGTGGTATATTTATTTGTATATATGTCTACGAAACTCGATTGGTCAATCACTATCACTTTCAATTCACCTTTCCTCTATCTCTCTCTCTTTCTCTCTTTCTCTGTCTTACACCGTGTTTTCTGCGGATCACTCGACACGGACCCACCGTCATCGACCCAACCACCGGCTCAGGCCGTGGAGCGTGGGTCTCGGGGCTCCGGCGTTCGGGACTGAGAACGAGCTGGTTGGGTGCACTACAAGCGGCGCTGGGGGTGGCAGAGGTCTCTCTGGCAGCTGAGATGTAGGAGTGGGGGAGGAGGTGGACAGGTGGGGGAGGAGGTAGACAGGGTCCATCAGGGTCCCCCCCAAAAATGTGTTGGTAGTTTGCGGATGGTCTTTTAGCACTAGTGGCCCAAACTTCAATCCTCGTTGAAATTCGACACGGAGGTCGAGGGCGGCTTGGAACTGCAGACTTTTCAGCGCAGGGCAGTAGACCTGTCTCACGTCGTGCCATGGCAGATGTTGGCGCGCCAGCCGTGCGCCAGGCAGATGGCAAGGCGGCCTGGGCAGTGGGCAGTGAGGAAACATTTGGTACAGATGGATCCATTTGTGGACTGACCCTCTCACTTCGTGAAAATGATTCAATCGAATCACCATTGGGGACGTAGGGAGGCGCAGGCGATGAACGGATGTGAGAGTAGGTCAGAATGATCAACATAGCTGAAAGAGATGGGCTGTGTTTGCAGTGCGTGATGTTTTGTCAGGAAGGATGCTCACATGATGTCACATGCACTTGTGAAGATGCAGGGCTTTGAGCCACGGCCGACGTGACAGAACCCTATTCTACAAACATCCTGTTGTTCTGTTGATGGAAAGCTGTGCGTAACAAGAACCTCAACGCGGAGACTGCATGACCAATGAGGTGACACTTTGGGCTGTGTTGTTCCAACATGGTATCTATTTGTTGTCTAGTCTCAGTAGAAAGCTGTGTCTCCGGACGATGTGGCTAAAACCTGTGTCACCACAGCCTGAGGTATTTCCGTGCTCGCAAGGCTTTTATCAATCAGCCGCTAAGCTTGTAACACGATGTAAACATATTATGTAAGCCAGCATTCCCTCCTGCAAGTCTTCAGTTTCAACCCATTCCAAACCGGCCGAGCGGCCTTTGCCGCTCTCCACGTCGGTGCAGGATGGAGACGACCAGGTCGAGACCGACGACGCGGACCCCGTGGCGGGTCCGCGGGACCCGGGCGAGGTCGGCATAGCGTTGGAGGTCGAGACACCACGCCCCAAGATGACGAAGGCACTTTCGGAGCTTTGGATTGAAGCGCGGTTCCGCCGCGCCCTTTCGCCGCGCGATGGGTGAAGATGGAGAAGATGGAGAAGATGAGTGTGGTGAAAGTGGTGAAAGTCTAGAGACGTGTCGGATGAGTGTTCCCTGTGCCAGCTGGCCGTCGGGTAGGATGATTTCCGCGTTCATAGGGCCGTTACAAATGATTATAGATGTTATTGTCTAGTGAGATATAATGCATCAGTTTGATTATTCATATTGTTGTTCCATCATTCCTATTTGTGCCCTTTTGATCCAGAATCTGTGATTTGGTTCTATGTTTCTTTTCTCAGTGTGGGTCAGTGGCCCTAAAGACGGATGCTACCTCCAAAAAGTAGGGTGACACACACTCACTTCAAACGCACATCTTCACCAAATCCATCAAGGAGACCGGGCGAGGCTTGAATTGGGACAACTTTGGCCTGAGTCGAGTGTGATTCAGCCTGTCTGTGGCTGGCGTTAGTAACCACACGTAGGCGTCGTGGTGGTTTGACTAGTGAGGATAGGTGAAGGCTGTTGCTGTTCGACGTGCCTTGTGGTGGGCTCTTCGGCTGTTTCTGAGAAAACGGCCGACCTCCGCTCCACCTGACTCAGGAGCGCACCTCCTATACCCGGCGCTCAGTCGTGACGAATGAGTTTCGGGTGAATATGGTGAATGTACATGCAGATTTTCACAAGGCCTGAAGAGGGTTCCCACAACGCAGAAGGAGCTTTGAAGTCTATATTGTATAATATATATATACATAATACATGTATAAAATTATCATTCACTGATGTCAGCATAGTTTGTGCAGTGTCAAGGAAGGTATTGCCTTCCGAAGGGCACTTCCAATACCATTTGTCCATTCAGGAGTTTGGACCTGGTTTTCTTTTTTGTTGGCTGTGAAGAAGGGATCGCCCACTTCTTGAAAAACACTCCTTTGAGCTAATGCAAAGAGAAGAGGATTGCGTTACCTGCTGGCCGGATTTGTGTGAGACAGGTCAAACTGGCATTGGTGCGTCTTAGCCGAACTGCAGGTCGACAAGGTCGTTGAACCTCGATTTGGCGGCTGGAGGGACCAGGTCCACTACGTGCTAGCAACTGGCAGGCATTCAAAGCTGCACTTGTGTTTGCCTCAAATAAGGAGAATGTGGTCGTTGTCTCATGTCAGAACCTGACAGTGGCCAGGCTAGTGGCCTTCCCCCGCAATTCATGTTGTTCGCAATGTGCCATTCTGTTTGTGCTACCCTTCAGTTGCATCGGTCTTGTTTTGACAAAGGCATAGATTAGATAGATAGACAGACAGACAGAGATAGATAGATAGACAGACAGAGATAGATAGATAGAGGTACAGGCCATTTTGTTTCTCTGCGTGGCCGTCCTCAGTTTTTTGATTGCCCCACCTTCATGAGATCTTAATTAGGGTATAACATGGCATCACAAACTTGAATTTAAGAGTAAACCCACAAAAAGGCACCTAATTCAATGTACTTCAAGGTGCATTCCAGGAACGAACGAGCTGAGTTTGACTGGGCGGCCAATCACTTTGCATCACCCTAGCAACCATGATCCAATGTTATTTTTAAAATAAGTGTTTGCAGCAATTAACTTCCATTCCGTTATGAGAAACCGCGACACAGGACACAGAAGGATCTGAAAAGACAATGCGAGTGTCGACGGCCATGTTTGATGTTGGGGTCCGGCATGTTTGCAATGCATATCCAAAACATGTGTGTGGTTTGGGAAGACAGGTTTTCTCGATAATTGGTCGGATGATATAGCATGATATAGCATTATGGCCCCTTGTGGCGAACCACATCAAAATTGCAGCACCACTATCAAACCGTGGGGTGCTTTTGCTTCTCGTTTCACTTCGCCGGTGTATTTCGAGGATCGATGTCGAAACCAGTCTCAGCGATCGTTGGGATTCCGCGACTCAAAAAACCTTCGCATCAGTCTGGGTCCAACCCAGAAGAGACACAAGAAGACACAACCAGAACCACGCAGATCTGCATGTTGCCACAATGTTCCAGTGGGGCACTCCCAATCAGTTTGGACCAGCCCGACCAATACGTTGGTGCATCCACCAAAAACCAGTGAAAGTCCTGTCCGACACAGTTTGTCGCGGCGATGTGACTTGAAGACCCGTGGTTAGCTGCAAGAACCGATGCGAACACCTGTGGACCCAGCTGTGGGCCCTTTCGCCCAAACGGATTCGAAGCTCAGAACCCGCTCACCATGATATGAGTGTTCAGAGTATCCCGGATGCTTTGGGCTGGACTAGTGGCTGGACGGTCCAGCCTTAATCAATCTGAGGAGAGTCATCGCATGGTGAATCTGATGACTTTGACCATTTTGGTGGATGCCATATGCGCTTTGATCGCCACAGATGCGCGGGCCATGCACGTGACCTGGAGCAGTGATGAGACGAAGACCGCTTGTTGCACTCACAGCCCAGCAGGCCAAGGGCCCGAGGGATCCTTTTCCCCCGAGCATTTATTTCTAGCGGCTAGGGACGTACAATTTTTGGACATTGATTATAGACAGTACCTACGATTCGCTGCAACTGACAATAGATATTTTGGCGATTTGATGGTTTTTCTGTTCCAAATGAATATATGCTAAATTGTAATGTTGTTATATCAACATAATTAATATGATATCATACAATGTAATGTAATGTAAAAAACGTACGATGCGTGTGCATTACATGTTTGATACCTGCACAAGAGCCTATTCCTTTCTCATCCTTCTTCATCATGTTATTTCCTTTAAGTTTGGTACAAAGTGGCATTCCTGTGGATCTTCTCCGTTTAGGATTCATCTCGAGGGGCCGGGCACCAAAAGGGGTGTCTCGAATAAGTAGATAAAGAGAGGAACCAGTCGTAGCGGTTCAGCAAACTCCAGATTGCTGTACCATCCTTGGACATTGATTAGGCGTTCACATTTAACCGGTTGATTCGCTGACTTTCGGAGGGCCGCTTCAACCACTGGTTTGTGAAATTGGCGTCGTAGTGAAACCCCATGGCCCATGACCTAAAGCAACAAGCCGCTCTTGGAAGAAGGTGGCGTTTGGTGACTGTGGTCGGTCAAGGAACCGCGGCTTCCAGGACCGTTTAAAACATGGTTGACCTGGTGCTGTATAAACTCCTTAGTAAAACAATCATGGTTGCTCAGAAAAAAACACTTGCAAAACCGTTCTGGTGCTTGGAAGCATCCGGGGGCTTTTTAAACCCTTCTTTCTCTGAGGTTCATCCACCGCTCTACATCGATTTCCTCTCGGAAGCGTGCTTAGGGGTTTACACCCTGGAGTTGGTCGCAATCTTTGCCCTGCATGGCAAGAAAGCCCTAGAAAGTAGAGCCGTGCTCTTCGATATCTTCACCATTTCTTGTAGCAACTCGCTACAATAGCAGAGTGAGTTCAAACTTTTTCCAATCGCTTCCAGTATGCACACTGCCCCAACAAATTTCTAGATATCATTAGCTGATTTTTGGCTTGTGGGAGAGGCGCGCTCGTGCTTGACCTAGGTGGACGACTTGCAGACTTCAAGGTTGTTAACTGTCATATACCTCCTCCCAAAGTGCCATGCGATAGAAGCTGGTAGAGGAAAAGGATCTGATCTAGCGGTTTTGACAAGCATGTTCACACTTGACATGGGCATTGATACCATCATGCAGCTGCTTCATCATGCATATCTTCTGTTTGGATGCTCACAAGCAGGCAGTTGTTGGTAGGTGAAAAGCTTTGAGACTTGGAGGCCTTGGGGGTGACCAGAAAATAGCTGAGAATACTTCAGAACATCGAACTGAGTGACTTACTTCGGACAAAAGCCAAGGCTACTTGGATTGCATCTTCCAGCTGTTCGACGCTTTCGGCCACACCTTGCCTCACGAATTCCTTTTTCTCCGCGACTTGCGGCTGTTGCGCTCCTTCGTCGCATCGCGATGCATCGCGAAGGGGGCGAAGTGGGGCGATTCGCGGATTGGGGGCGTCATCCGACGGAGGATGTGCGGATGAGAGACTATATGAGATGCCATTTTTGCCAAAGATCTCCATTTGCACCTTCTTCATATACATATATATATATAGACACGTGTTTGATTTGCCTTTGGCATTTCACAAAACAAGGAAGGGTGAGCCGACCTCACTTAAGAAATGGATTCTAGCCGGGGATGCCTTCTTTGGCACATGAGGGAGAAGCATTTTGCACCCTGGAAATGCTAAGCTGAAAAATCGTTGGTTTGTGGCTATTAGTGACAAGTGACTAGTGTCTTGCTGGTACAATATCCTTGAAAAGGTACTGTAAAGCAACTTGAACTAATTTGAACCTGTCTGAGTTCGCTGGCAAGGCGTGATCCGGGTGATGCGCGTGGCGCGCATCATCCAGCGGATGCAGTCCTTGAAGGAGCTCCGGAAACTGGTGTCAATGATGGCAACCTGCATGAAGACCCTAGGCAGGGCAGAGATGCGGAAGAACCCTGAAACTTTGATTGGCTTTGCTCCGGACTCCGAAACTTTGGACGACGGACTTGTTGGGTTTGAAATGGTTTGAATTTCTTTGGATCCTTTGAGAAGGAGAGCCGGTTACAACCCAACTGAAGATGAACATACGGCTTTGAGGCTAAGACTAAGACGCCGATGGGGCTGCCGATCCAAGCTCGAAACAGGTTGGTCCTTTGCCTTTTGCTTCGCCTTCATGACCTTTTGGGCAGCTGACCTGGAAATGCAATGCGATGCAATGCGTTTTGTGATGTTTTGCGTGTTGTTCTTGTGCACCAAATCGTCATCGTGCACTCGTGCAGGTCAAAACCGAGCGGTTCGCTGAGGCCATGATGCTGGTTGAATTCGTACACCCCTTGCTGGTGCAGATGCAGCAGGATAAGATCTTGGACTGTCCAGACTGTGTGAAGTCCACTTCGTCCATTATGGAGCCTTAGTTCTTGCACGGCCTTTTGATCTCAACACGATCGCCCTACACAAGACTAAGGGGGCCACATGCACGGCGTTGCAGGTATTTTCCTTGGGTTGTTTGATGTTGTTTGTACTAATTATGTGTCTTTTTTCTGTTTCCTTTCATGCTGGATGGTATGTTCAGACCCGCTTTTCTTGGACGACTCAGGATGCAAACCTCTTGTTGTTCAAGACGGTCATTGCTGGCGACGCGTGGGGACGGGTTGCTGTGCCCGTGATCGAGTATGTCCCACTAACGGCGATCGTGTTCTGCGGCTCGCTCATGACCACCGTGTTCGGAGTTTTGAACATGGTCATTGCAGTCACCCGGCTGTTTGGAATGCTTTTTATTGTGCCGTTTTGCAGTGCTGAAGAGCAAGCATCGGGCAGGATGTTTTGTGACGCGACGTACTGTGTGCGTAGCTGTCCCATACCTGGGAAGCATGTGAAACGAAACTCTTAAGTGTATTGACTACCCCCCAGTCACCCTCGGGTGGGTTAATCGAGTTATGGTTGTGGATTGACTGTTGCATATTTAAGAGCTGGCCCAAGAAGTCTGCAACATGTCTCTAGGACGTCCGTTTTCTGTTTTTGACGTGCTGAGGAGATGGTAATGCAAGAGCACCAGCACACTCTGCTGCAACACATGTTAGCCCCGATGGTGGTCTGGTAAGCAGCAGCGGAAAGGTCCGAAACATTCCGAAACTATATAGGTAACAATCTTCACGGCCCGTGAGTTGAAAGCCCAGAAAGAAAAGGTAATAAGGAAAACAACATGAACTTGATGATTGGAATGCAATGACACCAATGCTTACCAGCAGTGACAAAAGCTATGAAGATGCAGGTGATGACAATGCTGTTGTGAAATGATGCAATGGTATCAAAACCGATGATGATGGTATCATGAAACCGGTGATTGCCCCACCACTTCTCCCCCCACCCCAATCTAATCCGATGACAATGTTGCGAAACGAATGACAATTGACAATGTTCTGAAAGCAGATGACACTCTGGTGAAAACCGATGACACTGGTATGAACCAGAAAACAGCTTCCAGGGCAGCGAATGGAGCACCACACCGATACTAATCAGATTTTGGCAGATATGAAACATGTTTTCCTTGAATGATTCCATGGCCAGTGTCAACACTGCCCGGTACTACCCGCCTTTGACAAAACCTTTTGGCACATGTGGAACCAGCCAATTGGCGAAAATGAGAGAGAGAGAGAGAGAGCATGTTCCACATTTTAGGTACCAGACACCGCCCCCCTCAACCCCAAGTGTTGGCTGGCTGAGGTTGTAGTGGATTCTTTCGCGGAAACTCGCCAGAAGGATGTGCTGAACCTGGCGCAAGAGCTGGAGTATGAGCATGAGAAAGACAAGAAGAGTCTGGGTCTTGTGATTCTTTATAGTATTTACTTTTGGTTCTTGTTGTTCTGTCTTTGTCAAAGTGCCACCCCCGGCAACCAAAGCCAGTTTCGTGTTTGGTGTCGTGCAGCTGTTTCAGCCCGGACAGACGCATGACACGAAGCTTGCTTTTCCGCTCCAAGCTGGAATACCACAAGAAACCCCAAAAAATGAACTGCGGCAAGGACCAAGGATGATGGTCTGTAAAAACATGTAGAAGCTAAGACCCCATAGGTTTGCGGTAAAGTTCCAACTTCACACGAAGTGCTGCCCATATGCTGTGAGTGATGGATTGAATTTTGTAGGCCAAATGCAAGATATTGCAATGTTCCCAGTTATTTTTCGCGTTGCTAATGGCTAATGGGTTCAAAGCCTAAAGTAATTAATTATCCCCTTGGATTTGGTGCGGGACAATTTAGCAAGGGGCATTTTCCTAAGGCTTATGAGAACCAGGACCAGGTTTTGTCCTAAGTGTTTTGGACAAAAAAGGGGTCGTGCGACGAGGAGGGTGGAGAATATGTTCAACCGTTTGGACGTCGAGGACAAAGGTGCTTCTTGGCTGCAGGGGACACCACCCAAGCTGGCACAGATGATGATTTGATGACAATGAGGATGGAAACATATGGACACCAAAAGAGGGTGAGTGAGAATCAGACATACATGCCTTGATATCAATATAAGGCATTCTTCCTGGTCCATGTTCTTACCACCTCTCATGGATCAAACCAGGAGTTAGCAATGAATTATTACATATACTATATAGATATACAACTGTGTATATAAGCCGCATTATTCTGTGGAAAATTACTGCCTGATGTGCTCTTTGAGTTTGTGGTGCAAATGCCCAGCGGAAATCCCAAGGAAACGATCAGAAATCCCTGGAGAAAGGCAGACATGTCCAACTTCTGTTGTTTGACCAATGTTTCTGCAGCCACTTGGGTTCGTTCAGGTTTGAGGAGATTTATAGATGCGTCGCCACCATCTCGAAATGCTTTCGAAAGCAGAAGGGGTGCTACATTGCTAGGCTTCTCCAAAGCAAGCTGGCTCTCATGAGTGTGAGCAAGCTTCCGTGGTTCCTGAGAAAAAAAACATGTGACAACATCTATTGTACAGTTTGTATATGCACATGCATTTTGCATTGCATCGTCGCGGGTTGCAACCTCGGTTCCTCCTTTGAACAAACCACACCAACAGGGGATCAGCCACCAAACTATGGACCTACAAACGGGGGATGGAATGACCGGTAGAGTGCACTTTGGTTCGGTGATGGCACCTCAACCACCTCATCCGTTTTTGTTCGACGCCAGTGATGGTCAGTCCGGCCTCGCGTCCAGGATTTGACCTTGCAAGATTTGGTGAAGGGAGCTCAGACCGATCCAGAGTTTCAGTCTCGCCTGCGGGTCATGGATATCGACCAAGCGGACTTGCAGCAACTCTTTGAAATGCGTCTTGGAGGTGAAGAGGCTCCAAAAAGGGGCAGAAACACCACAGAAAGCACCCGTTTTTGGAAGGTCTGCAGTCCGCCAAATTGGCGGGTCGAGAAGGGTCAGCCCTTCGGTCCGGGCGGGCCCTTCCAGGGATCATGCGCATTACACGAAGGGTGAAGAGTCTGGCCTTGGCGACAGAAGAGAGACGGTGACAGCGAGTTTTTCACGTTTGCGTCCTGATGCCATAAATTCTGACTAGATAACTAGTAGATATAGAGAGAGAGAGATCATTTGCAGGCCAACTATTGGGGAAGCAATTCACCGTGCACTTCCTCGGCAAGTCAACAAACCCAATGAAGCGAGTGCTTCCGAGGAACAAGTCCCAAGCTCATTTCGACGTGCCAAGAATCTACTACACAGTTCCCCATTTGTTGGTCGATTTTCGGGTGCTGCCACTAGTGGTGTGGAGAAAAATAGCAGTCGGACCTTTCTCGCCGCATGAAAAGACCGGCATGAAGCAGAGCAATGATATCCTTTAACTAAGAGACTGACAGGTTTGATGGATGTCTTGCGGTGTTTGCTGCTGTTGGGAGTGAAAGTATGAAAGTAGGTGGCCCACTGTGACAGACTGTGACTTCCCGGGTGAAAAAAGAGATAGCAAAAACCACTTCAATTAGGTGCATCCCTTCCTGCAATGCACCCCACCCTTGAAGCCCAGTCCGACGGTTCAGGGATGGGACCTCGCCGTCTACATATCGACATGACGAGCTCATGCCCCATAGGGGTGGCCAAATCCACATGAATGGACTGTGTTGGGGCAGTTGGTCCTGGCAGTTCGTTCTCCCCATATCGATCTATATCTATATCGACCTATCAGAGTCTTGAGCTGGAGAACCTCCCACAAAACCAATGCAGAGGCAGAAACCTTCCCCGACCAATTGTTGACAGTAAACAACAATGGACCAGGAATTTCAAAACGAGTCTTCTTTGCTCCTCCCCCAAGAAGGGGACTCCGCCACTGAAGAGAAAGGAACACAAAACGCGGCGTTGGCCCCCCCCCAGGATTGACGCGGATGGTTCGGGAGCCATCAGCAAGGAGGAGTTCATCCGGCCACTCACGCGGTGGATCCACGAGTCCAAGACGGCGCCACGCTTTGTGAAGTACAACGTGGATCGCAGCTTGCAGGCTCAGGCACGCTGGCCGCCGTTGGCCCTTTTCTTAAATCACCACTTAGACTCAGTGAAACGAAGTTGATGGCACCTTTTTCACCCCGTCCGTCACGATGTCTTGAAGAGATGGGGGGTGCCATCTAATCTACTCCAAAACCGTATTTGTATTTTTTCATATTTGTTCAATGATCACGGCGAATGTATGAAAAATCCATGCGCCCAAACAATGGTCCTTGAGTAGGAGATTGTTCCAGATGTTGGCATGAGACGGTGGTGTTTCTGGTGGGGTGGGTTTGTTGCTGGGCCCGTGGTAACATTTGGGCTGTTCTCACATGTTCTCCCAGGGACAAGGTTGTCGACAGATGTGGGACAGCCTTAATTAAACGAATGACGGTTGGAGCAGGATTTGGAGAGGTGCAGCTTACCAGGCTTAGTACAGCTTCCCAGGCCCCCACTGCTCACTTGGCCGATTTGCTTGGGGTGAAGGGATCCTTGGGTCCGGGTGGACCACGAGGAGCCCACAGACCTGTTGTGCCATACCCAGCTCACAAGATGAGCTGTGGTTCATTGTTCCAGTGCATCTAAGTGGTCCGTTAGCTTTGAATGAGAAATGAACGCACTACCATTCCAAGCCAGTGTTTACCTCTTGGAGGGAACTCTTCCGGGACAAGAACGCCACAGTTGTTGAGGGTATATAGAACACAACCCGATGTGCCCGTGAAAGGAAGAGATCTTGAAGCAAAGCCAGGAGCAGTGTCTCAGACTTTCATTTGTTGAGCAACGATTTGCTGAGCAACTGTTTGCACGGCAGTTTTGTTGCAGCAAAGCGAGAGCCCCATGACATAGTGGTTCCCACATTGTTCCCTCCTCAATTCGGCTGAATTGTCGATCATTTGCAGGTCTTTGCCTTTGCAGCTTTAATATTCAACTTTGCTCCTCAGTTCGTTTAGAATCTTAGAGCATCCTGAGGTTCTGCATCTTGGCCTCTCGCTTGGATGAGCTGTGCCAGGAGTTATTGCCCAAGACCAACCTTGTAGATTGGCAATCCTCCATTCAGTTGGCCCCGGACTACATCCCTCGCAGTATCATGGCGCCACCCAAAACACTGAGCAGGGCAGCGAATCCTCTCGAGGCAGCGAATCCTCTCGAGGCAGCGAATCCTCTCGAGGCCTGGCTGTGATTTCCATGTCGACCTGGAGCGGTTTTGGTCGTAACAAGCCTGGAGTGGTTTGGGCGACCGACCTGTGTTGAGCACTCCCTGGCCGAAGCTCCGGTCCTTCCCAGCTACGACGTTCGCTGGGGGGCCAACATGGGCCAACAACTTGTTCGCCGGACCTCAAAATTCTAGAGATGTTTATTGTTGTACGGGGGAACGAGAGGTCTATTGTTGCAACCAAGGGGGCAGTAGGCGTGAAAGGACTGTGTTTTTTACAATACTATGTATATATATATATATGTTATACAATATGTAGTTATTTATATAACATTACAATTAGATGTATTTTAGATGAGTGTATGTCACCGGCATGCGTTAGGCAGATATGGCTTTTATTGAACAATTGAACATGGTGTAAGAAAGAATCCAACCGATTTAGACTGGCTAGAGGAATTGAGTTGATTGTTGTTTTTAAGTTGTCACGATTGACAAGTTGACAACTAGTTGAGTTGAGCAGTCAAATATGCTTGTCAAGATTTGCTCAAAAGAGTTTATTTTATTATTGCAACCTACTGATATTTGTTTAAGCCAGTCTTTTTGACAGTAGTAGTCTATTTCCCCACATTGACGTGCGGGGTTTTTGTTCTTGGTGCTGCATCCGCTCTCCTCTCCTCTCCTCCTCCCAACCACCAACCAACAACCACCAACCAACCACCACCAACCGTCCGCTCCTGTGTCTGGTGGAGTTGTTACATGTGGCGCTATCCGGTCCTTTAATTTTGTTAAGCTGGTGGTCAAATTGGGCTTATAATTAACCTGCTTTCTATTTTTGCAACCTACTGAACAAGAATTTTATTAACAGCAGCTTAATAGACTCGCCGTCTAAAATTGCAACCTAGTTTGCTCAAAGCAAGCTTTATATTGACAGTATGTAGTTTTTTCTTATATCATTATTTGTATTTTACTCTTGTGTAGATATATATATACATGTTTGTTTGGTGAGAACATTGAATTTGTACTACAATTGATGCCCTTTCCATTATACAACCATATACAACCTATTGAAAAAGCAGTCTGTTTATTGACTGTAGTTTGATGTAGTTTGTGATTGTATGCTTTCGTTGGCCGGGGGGGTCCCGGGTTTATAATGGACTCGCGGTTTGTTTTTGATAGGAGTCATATTATATATGTATTGTTGTGGCCCTGATCGAGTTAAAAGACACGAGGGTCAATTCATCCTGCGTGTGGTGCGCAATTGAACTACGGCGTAGCTACGGAATGCACGAGGGTCAGTGTGTTGGTGCAGCCCTTGCAGGTGTTGGAAGCCTCCATGGAGGATGTGGAACAGCCTAAGGATTCCATGAGTCCGACACTTGAAAGACCTTTTTTGTGGAACGGTGACCACCGGCCTGGTGAATTCGGACGGGAATGGTGCTGAAGGCCTGACCCTTTGGCTCCATGAATAGTTCCAATAGACATTCACATGTCGTGTTTTGGAACGGCATCCGCGAGGCCCCAAGGGGGTGTGAAATGAACGGAGCTCTTGACGCCCACTGGGTGCTGGCACATCCGATCCCGGTCGAAGGGAGCCTGGAAGCATTCTGATTTGATTGACGACGTGACACGTGGCTTACCGCAGTGCAATGCCCATTTTCTGTGAATCCTCCACATATACCAGGTACTGTATCGAGACCTGAATACACCTGGTAGAGATGGTGGGAAAAGCCAAGTCTGCAAATATGTTTTGCCGGTTGGCAGGGCGTATTTGCTTCGCGAGGGATGCATGTGTTGGAATTGAGTTTATGTGTGCTGGTTGCTATACCAGAGTTTTGTCATCTCTGGGTGTTTGCTGTTTCATGCTGCCTTACTTTGGATACCTGCTACTGAAAGCTGTGACACACCCCACACACACATGCACGGTGGGCAACCGAAACCCTAATGCCCCCATGACTCCCCAAGCACTACTCTGCAGGTCAAAGACTTTTAATTTAGTGGAGTTGATCATACAAAAGCGCACGACTCAAAGAGGTAAAGGACCAGGTTTTTCTGGGTCAGACTGGCTAAGGGTCATGTGAGACACCGTGTCGCACAAGAAAAAGGGATCACCGTGATGAGTTTCATTGAGTTTCTGTGGAGGTAGCTGGAAGTGAATGATTCAAACCATGGGCTCAAACGTCCTCTAAATGATATTCGTGGTGTTAACCAGGAAGCATGCCAATCATTTTTGCTGATTGGCATGGTGCAATTCAGTACCCTGGAGGCCCGTCCTCCCTGTTTCTTCGATGGTACATCAACCAAGCCTTCAAAAACATATAACTGTCAAGTCTTCGACCGGAGTCTTCAGACTGCTTCAAGTCTGGAGCCTTCAGTTCCAGCCAAGCTGGACATGAATTTAGTTTTCTGGATCTTTGCGGACCACTGCCACTGCTGGGGAACATGAACCACAGAAATTCCTGTAGAATGCAATGGGAATGATGACGTTTCAGAGGTTTTGGGGGATTCACGTCCTTCTCGTTGAGACCTTTCTCATCCTTATGCCGTAGAGTCTGGACGGTCGTACCCAAGTCATCCCCAGTTGACCCGCCTCGCACGCATGAGCCGTTGCGAGCTTGGACATGCAGCTCGAGCCGGCCCGGCAACGTTTTTTGCGAGGCGACTCTTGTTGAACACAATAAAGATCTTGTCAGATCTTTGATGACTAAAAGGCTAATTTGCTCAAGTCATCAGATTGAAGACTCCGTGCAGAGTGAGCTTTTGCACAGAGTGCATGGTGCGGAAAACTCCATGCTGCACCACGCAAAATTGCGCGGTTGCGTGCTGTTTGCATGTCCTGTGACCATGAGGTGGCTCACCTCAGTGCCCATTTTCTGTGAATCCTCCACTGATACCAGCATCGAGACCTTAATGGACCTGCAAAATTTTCTGGCCGGTTAGCAGGGCGGGGCGTCTTCGCTTCGCGAGGGATAATTATATGTTTTGGAATTGAGTGTATGTGTTGTTTGCTAAGAGGTTTGGACTCTATGGGTGTTTTGCAGTTTCATGCTGCCTTTCTTTCGACACCTGAAATTTGTGATGGACGGCCAAAGCCCGATGCTGACTTCGGCATTCGACGTTCGCCAAATGGGGGATGTGAGCCACCATGTCGCCAAGAGCTGTTGCAAAATGGATCACAATGATCAGAGTTGACTTAGAGAATGCAACAGAACTCCCGGCTCACGATTCCCCACAGCATGGGCCAATGGGCTCCACAAATATAATGAACCACACATATATAATAAGTAATATATATATATATATCATTAGGATTCAGGTGTTGAACAGTGAATTTACTTTGGGGGAGTGTTGAACGCGGAGTGAGCAGGAGGCGGTCGGAATCCGCTTCAACGCAGGATGCTGGACCGGTTCTTTCTCGCATTTGCCGTCCAAAAGTGCCCTCAGACTAGGTCAGTTCGACCTGTCAACAGAGATGTTCTCCTTTCATCAACCTGCCGCAAGATGAAACCACAGGAAGACCATGGAAGACCTAACACATCTCCAAGCTTCTCATTTCTCATGTCCAACGCCAAAAAGTGGGTGACGGCAAAACATAGCAATCCGGCAGAATCTGCGTTGGCCTGGTTGGTGGCTCAAGGCGGTCCAGTCCGAGGCTGCAGGTTCAGTGTCCCAGCATGACAGTTCCGAAGTCTTGGATGGTGTTGGATGGTGTTGGTGTGGTGGACAACGTTTGCCATCTTCAGGGGGGCTCTGAGGGACATAGAAGGACCTGAACTGGATTGCAGATTTTGCAGATTATGGTTCACGACCCAGCGAGGTTGATTCAAAATGTACAATCAATCATACTTGGGTTTATTGCACTAGGGGTCCTGTTGGCCTGGCGAAACATTTGGATCTTGATTTGCCAAGTGACAGGGAGCTTGCGCCGCCCGCAGACACTTGGCTTGGCTGGCGTTTGCTACTCCATGCACTCCTTGGCTGGCATGGCTGAGCGCAAGGACCCCTTGCTGCAAATAGACAGTAGCTTTGTGATGGTTTGTGTGCATTTGCTCGCGAAACATGAGCTTTTGCTCCATGATTGATGTCCACGAGGGTAGAGCTGAACATCTATGCAAAGAAAGCTATAACAAGGCCCACAATATAGGCATTTGTGCGGTCATTGCACCATCAACCATTTCCATCACACGAAACGCCCAAAATATTCCAACATGCCCACAAGATCAGGCTCTTCGTCCCTGACAGCAGCATAAAATCAATCCATCATAATCCATCCATTTTCCAATTTGACATGGCCCTGTTTGAAATCACTTCGCAAAACCGCACCAACCCGCCGCCCGGTCTCTCCCGGTCTACTCAGGACCCACCGGTGCGAGGCACGTCGTGCGTGCTGCGGCCCGAGCCGCCGGAGCCACCGGAGCTACCGGTCTTCGCACGACAGTCCTTCACGTCGCCCGAGACTCCCCGGGTGGCTCGGTGGGGTCGGGTCACCAGCGCGGTCGGTTCACCGGTCGCACCATGAAAGGAGGCTGGACAGCCTTTTTTTGGAAGATTCTAGTCTGGTTGGGGAACAAGCTCCTTCTAAAGCGAGCCAGCAAGTTTGCGGTAGTTAGAGATATGGTTGAATATATTGTATATTATTTACTTTATATATATATATATATATTATACAAAATCACTTGGTCGCCTGGCGGTTCGGTCAAACGGGTCGAAATGGGTGCTATAACACTTGGCGTATGCTTGATCTCTAGGAGCCGATTTGCGATTTGCGAGGAAGGTTCTCAAGCAGATGGCTGCGCTGCCGTCAGCAATGGTTTGCTCCTCCGACAAACGGTTATATACATCAAACACCGGCGCTCGTGCGCCGTTCGTATCCCCCCCGGATTAATCACGCTGGCTGATCCCTGCAGCCCGCCAGAACCGGATCGTGTGGTGTCGGCTCGACCGGATCCGAGACCGGACGTTGGAGAAAGATGGGCCGCCGCCGCCCACGGCCCCCAAGGTCACAAAGCTGCAGGCCGACTTTCACAAGGCAGGTTGGAGATGGTGAGTTTGCTGCATCCCTCATTGTTACAGTTTGCTGCATTTGTGCGGCTGCACTGCACAGGTGGAGAAGGTTGTAGAAGCCAAGTTGGGTAGCTCGAAGGAGAAGGTTGCCTACATGCTTGCCACCTGGAGGTCTAACTTACAGGTGGCACCCTGCGACAATCTCCCAGCATGTCCCCCCCAAAGGAAGTCAGACATGAAAAGACATGTCCCAAGTCTACTTGGAACCGATGGAACCGCTTGGGGTGACGACCATGCTACTCGGAGGCTGTGTTCAGCGAACCATGGACGCCATGGACCCGGGTCGTTTCTGGCACCCCAATTAAAAGGCTCTTTGGTCTTCCCAGCTGCACCAGGGTCACGGCCAGTAACTCCCACCCGCCCACGGGCCCCCACGTGGGCCCGTGCGACCGTGGACTGGTAGCAAGGGACCCCGGAGGTACTGTAAGACACGAACAGGGCAGTGAAAGAGACTCTCTAAGCCTGTATGTGTGTGCAATGGTTTTTCTCAGAAAGTAGTTCGATGATCCCCGAACTACCCCAAGACGTGTTGTGCAAACGGAGCTTGTACATGTCTATTTTCGTTGGAGGGAGGGCCACCGAGGAGACAGATATGTTTATCAATGTCATGACCGTCATCATTGTGATCGATTGCGTTTGTGCTTTGGTCGCGACTGACTCTCGCGCGATGGAGACCGACCCACCCTTCTACACGGAGCTTTTATCACATCTATGCCTGGTGATCTACTCAGCTGACTCTCGGGCTGAAATCCATGTACCTTTGGTTGAAATCCATGGTGAATTTTGCGAACTTGACACATTCCAAGAGGTATTGTGTATTGTGTGGAACTGGCAAAGCTGAAGGTTGCACAAAGTGAGGTGTAGGGCCGTAGGGTTCCCACAAACCAAGCGCTCCAAGCCGTCGGGTGTTTGCTGTGCGTTCGCCTATGGCTAACGGCTGTCCCACCCAAGCTAACGAGCTTGTCGGGTGCCAAAGAAACAAGAAGACATGCTCACAGCTCATGTGACATGATTGCATGGCATGCCGCACCCATGTTTAAACCCACATGTTTTCGCTTAGACAGACCATCCTTTGAGCGAATACCCTTTTGGGAATCTTAAGAGGTTTTGCAGTGCTGATCTGACTGGGGGATTCTTTTTGGCCAGGAGTTGCTTGCGATTCTTGGACTGAAGGGAGTTGCAGCCCTGAAGCGCAAGTCCATCCTCTTTGACGCCTTCTGTGTGCTTTGCAGCTTCTTGCTGGCACCCCACCTGGGGACATGCTGCCCCGTTGTTTTTTACAGTCTCCAGTCTCCAGTGGCCAGACACTTTGCGCCATCTCCAGTGGTCAGGGTCTGGGTGGGTACACCTATATTTTCACTCACCTGTCGCTTGGACATGACATTGATTTCAACATTGTTGTGGGCGTTCCAGTGCGCAAACTCGGTCAACAAAAAACAAGGGCTGATCTCGGCGGCTGCCCATCAGCTGTCTTTCGATCGGCACAAGATCTCAAGAAGTGTCAGTACCGAAACCCTGCTGGGTAAGTCCTGAGAGACCCCTTTGACGCAGGTGCCTTAGCTGCCCTTGCAAGCAAGCAATATCAAGCAATGTTTCAAAATGTGTCAAACAACCGGCCACCCGAGTCTTGGAAGCCCCAAGCATCCAAAGCCGAGACAATCACCAACACACCTGTGACAGAGCGAGAGGCACCAGCGAGCTTGTTTATCCAAGGTTGTCAACATGTGTGATTTTGCCAATCTCAGAAACAAAGGCTCTATCAAACAAACGAACTACTGTACACAAATCAGTTTGTGAGACAACCTCACAATTTGTTTGTTATAAAAGCTCTCGTCCCAATGTCCATTTTTAGAACTGATGAGGGCATGTTTGGCAAAGCTAAATAGACGTGGGACAGCTGTTGCTGCTGCAAATTCGTCGTTTGTAATGCACTAACTTGCAAATATAAAAACTATATATATAATACTAATATGGTTTCTCGCCCCCGGGGGTAAAGAGTAACACACCTGTGAATTCTTATTCCGTAGTGTTTCGGCTTTCAGAAGGTTGGATGAGCACCTGCAACGGGTGCAACTCCAGACTAAGGAAGGCAGTTGGATCATCGGGGTACTGCGATCCCTGTTGGTTGGTCGTTCGCATAGAGCGACTTGTTTTTACAAGGTGTCCTCCGCATACAGTTGGTGATTTGGTTGAGTACCTCAAGACCGTCACCACAACACTGGAGAGGACTTGCGAAAAATTCGAAGCCGCCCGTACCGCTGGTTACGTGACTGAAGGCGGGGAGCCGATCCCTGGTGCCCGTGAAAAGGTTTTAGCCAGTCGAGCAGGAGAAGACTCATTTGAAAGGGGCATTCATTGCGGAGAGAAGGACCAGCAAGCATCTTCGACGAGCCGTCCCGGTAAAGAAAGAGCGAGAGGCAGATTCGGGGAAAGAACGTCTGGTGGACGCGAAGGAGAAGAAGCCAGGAAGGCGTGAGAGGTCCAGGAGACGCAGGAGGTCAAAGAGCAATACAAAGCGACCCAGGTCAAGGCATCGTTCAAAGCGTAAGGAGAAGAAGGACAAGTCGGGGACTCCAGACCCTGAATCCAGTGGCATCGAGACGACACCGGAGGAGAAGCCCAGGCCTTCAGCCAGGGCAGAAGAGCAGGAGGAGCAGCCAGAGGAAGAACTGGTTCAAACAGAAGAGGAGGAGCAAGACGACGCGGACACACGGAACAGGCTTGAACTCAGGCGTGCAGCCAAGCCATCGGCCCGCAAGCCGTTGCCTCGCCGACCGCGCTCGCCATCCTATTCGCCTCCAGGCTACCGTGATCGAGAGGATCAGAAGCCCAAGAAGTGGAAGGGACTCAAGCACGTCATTCGAGGACAACTTTATTACAACAGTGGGCCACCGAGAAGTAAGGGGCAAGGAAAGGGAAAAGGTAAGAGATGGCACCGAAAATGATCAGGAGGCCAGCAGCAGCGCCCAGGCGGGCGGGGGCTTTGAGGAGACCAGCAGCGCTGGAGGACGGGGTTCGGGGAGAGATCCCTGCCCTGAGAGAGGACTTGAATGTGGGGGATCTCATTTACGGCCAGGAGAGCAGTTATTTTGGGACGGCATGCCAGTTCTCTGGAAAGGTTATGGAGGAGTGGAAGGACCTTTCAGGGAAGTACTACATGGTAAGCTCTTCGGGACAGATTTGGAGGCTTTGCTGACCTGGGCGAGCGGGACCACCGGTTGCTCGGGTTCATATCTGCACACCCGATTGCGGACAAGACTCCGAAGGTCCCGGGCTCCTACATTGCAAGAAGCATCGGGGCATCCGAACCCTGGAAGAGATCCGAGACCTCCCTTGGCGCGACGTGTTGGTCAGCGCAGGTCGTCGAGAGGAGGACGAGTTGGCCGGGCTGAGAAGTCGGATGGAAGACCTTCCAGCTCCTGCCGGGGCAGATCCAGGAGCAGAAGATCGTCCAAAGGAGGAAGCCCGAGAGTTGCAAGAGAAGGAGAAAAAGAAGAGGAAGAAGAAGTCAAAGAAGAAGAAAAAGCGCGCAAGGAGCGCCTCCCAGTCTTCAAGTACAAGCTCAGAAGCAAAACACAAGGCTGTCGAGCAGAAGGTGATGTTCGGGGGCAGCGGACTCGATCCCCTGAAGAAGGCTCGGAACCGCAAGAGGAGGAAGGCACAGAGGTACGCGCAGCGATCTCAGAGCAAGAGGGCAGAAAGCAAGAGCAATTCAAGCGGCGAGGAAACGACCTTGAAGTTGCAAGCCATTTTTGGCGAGCCCCAGCGAGTCAGGGCTGTCGCTCTGAGCTTCCCCGGAGTTTTATCAGCCCAGACCATCGAGAATATGCAGGAGTTGATGTTGGCAGAAGCAGGACAGGAATCCAACCAGCAGGATTGTTGGGCTCCCACGCTCCGGAAATATTATCGACAAATGCTGAGTCGAAAGGTATCTGGACCGATGAGCAGGGAACTTCATACACTATGCACGGTGGGAGATTTGATGTTACGTGGCCAGCTTCCGGAGGCCATGGACACCCTAACCCAGAGGGTGAAGTCTTTGGAAGCCCAGATCAGTGGCCTTGCGTGAACAGCTGCCCAGCGCCTGGACCTCCTCCCAAGCGACACAGCAACGTTATCTTCGAGGCAGGAGTTGAAGATAGCGACAACCGAGCAGCGGGCCGAAGCCCAGGCGCATCAAAGCGGTGCATGGTGGAGCAAAGGAACAGGCAAGGAAGGGAGCAAAGGAGAAAGGACAGAGAAAGGAAAAGGCAAGGGAAAGAAGGGGAAGGAGAAGCCGAAAAAGGATTGAGGCCTACGTTCAATTTGCTGGTGACCCCTGAGGGTCAACATCCTGAGTTTGCGGGGCATTTGAACCCTGTGGAAGCCAGGACGGGCCAGGCATACAGCTGTACAGTTGGAACGGGGGTGGGGGTCCCTGTGAGGAGTGGAGATGGTCGGGGCGAAAGGCCTGGGTATGATGATGACAAGTGTATGACGACTGGTGGCGCTATTTTCAAGGAGCTGACGCCAATCGCAACAAGGCCTGGATGGCCACATGGGGGCACAACGAACAGTGCAGATTGTGGCACGGGGCGATGGTCCCTGAAAAGAGACCGGGTGGATGAACCATTCCCGTTCCCACCTCCTGCTCCGATCGTTTTTCCCTTAGGGACGTCGGACGGCTTGGCACCGAACAAGGCTGTGATCGAGCTGAAGATGCCCCTGGTACAGTCGGGGTCCATCCCCGCGGACCTTGGAGGTTCGAAAAAAGGAGTCTGTGGCATGCGATTACAGGAAATGGGAAGTATTCTGGGCGAAAGTTTACAAGAGGTTATGTTGCTCTGCAGCCAGCCCACGGGAGGGGAGAGTAGAGTAGGAGTGCATTTGAAGCAAACTGACACCTTTCCTCTTCCAAGCTTCCAACCCTCCGTGAACTTCTTTCGCCCTTATTGTCAGAGGAGCACGCATGGACCGTTGATTGGTTGAGAGGGATTTGTATTGCATTGAATTCATTTTGGGGGTGCCCAGATCCAACACTTCAGGAACAACATCGTGCAGACGATCGGCCAGCAGTTTCCAAGATGCAGTGCCGAATCCTTCGGGGGCTGGCAAACGATGTGGCTAGGCTGAAGGAAGTACAGGAGGTTACGGAGTCATTCGATTGGGTGATTTCTTTCGATCGCGTACTATCGACTACAAGGGAGACGGTGAAGACAGCGTTAGGGTTCTGTGGGAAGAACATTGAGCCGGCCCTACCAAAAGAGATAGGTGTGGCTAGGTTAGTGGACATCTGCGATCAGGGGTGCAGGCACTACATCGAGAATTTCCCCGCCTCAAAGCACCAAGTGACTGGGGGCCCCTTAGGAAATCTCGGGTCATGGTCAGAGACGAGGACTGGTTTGACGTGGCTCATGGATTGTTGGGTGCGGGGGTCTTTGGAGTAGTCCCTGAGTCAGAGGTATTCAAAGTCGGCACTAAATTGTTGCTCAATGGACTCTTCGGGGTTGAGAAAAACGAAGAGTCACAAGGGGTGCCTATATACCGCCTGATTATGAATCTGATGCCACTCAATGACCTTTGCCAAGGGCTGGCGGGGGACATACAAACACTCCCGCACTGGTTTGGTATGTCACCTTTCCACATTGAAGCGCACGAAAACTTAGTGGTTTCAAGCGAGGACTTGCGGTGTTTCTTCTACACCCTGGCTCTGCCCCCTTGCTGGTTCCCCTTTCTGTGCTTCAACAAGCCCTTGCCAGACAGCCTGGTCCCTCCAGAGCTGCGAGGGGAGGTTTGCTACCCTTGCTCAAAAGTATTTCGTATGGGATTTCTTAACAGTGTTGTAATCGCTCAGCCCCTCAAGTCTCCTTCTTGCTCTCCTGCGGCTGATGTCGATAAGTCGATACCTAAAACTGCTGACAGGATTGACTCATGGATCACCGCGGTGAGGCCCAATGATTGGACTCCGGACATTCCCCCGAAACTGATTTCGTGTCAAAAAATCCAACAAAACCTGAGAACCGGACAAAAGTTGGCTGGGAACCTTGTTCAAATTTGGAATCTTTCTCAGGTTGATGTGTTCATTATGGAAAACTTATGAAGACCCAGCTCCCATGACCTGTCTTCTCTGTGGAGACGCCAAAGAGCGGACTGGAGCACTTCACACTAGTCAGCGTCCAAAGGAAACATTGGGGCTCCAAGCTTGAGTCCATAGCTTTGTGTAAAGTAGGTACCCAACAGGGGCCATGGATT